ATTTCCTGAGCTTTTTTTTAATTGCACTTTTCAATTATGTGTATCTGAGACAGGTAAACGCAACATCTGAGGGAAATACATCAGTACACATCTAAGCTGTAATCTTTTCATGTTCAGTTTACACGTCTGGCTTTTTTTGTTCTGTTTGTAATGTTGTTTGATGTTTTCTTGATTCAGTGATTTAAAATCAACTGTATTTATAGTATTTAAAAAGTCGTGAGAAACAAGTGATAGGAACCACACTCAAAAACATTTGTGGCTGGAACATGAGTCATAGTGTTAGCTGTGATTTCTGCCAGCTTGTAGGTGTTAAAAACATTTATTACGTAAGCTGGTGACATTTTACAGTGCTGGGGTTGTTACATATACCAGTCTTTCTAATCTGGCTTTTTCACTTCTGTTGAACTCTTTTTAATTTCTTGTCTTAAATATTTTTTTGTTTTTTAGTGTTGCTTTAACAGCCCTTTGTGTTCCATCAAAATGACAAAAGTTTAGCATTTGGAGCAAAGTTCAGGTCATCACCTTGAATATAAATATAAATGATAGCACTTCCAGATTTTTTAACCTTATTTGTGAAAGTGTTTACAGGTATGAATAGAGCAGGAATACAATCAGTGCCTGTTGAAATAAAAGTATATCTTTCAAAGGTTTTATTTGGACATATTCTATTTTTTTGCGGTTTTAGTACCTGACAATTTTTAAACAGAGATGTTGGAGATCTTGTCAAGATTGATGGAATTATTAACACACAAAAGTACCATTAGGTTTTCAAATAAAACTTCTGACTGGCAACAGTTTTATTTTTCAGCATTACAATGATCCCAAACAATTCATCTTTCGGCTTCATGTGTCATATTCAATATTCAAATTTAAAAACAAAATAAAATAAAAAATAAGTGTAGGGAAAACCTTTTTATTTTTCTTGTTTCAGAGAAGAGTGTTTTTTTCTTGTCCTACAATTAGCACTTGCAGTGTTACATGTATATGCAAGACAAACATTACCCATTTCACACAATAAATAGCAAAACCTTTCAGCAAAGTGAGAAAAACTGTGAACAGATGGCAGAAGAGGTGAATATTTTTTTTATTACTGTAGTGTGAAGCTATTCAGCCAAACTCAAAAAACACTTAAAATTAACTCCTGCTGAGGTCTTCTTACTTTCACTTTCACTTTAATGCTCCTCATGCTTTCATACTAATGTACATAGGTTTAATTGTTATATATTTTCCATGAAGTGTCCTTTTTTCTTTTTCTTTTTCTTATTTCTTCTGTTATACAAAGTTCAGAGAGAAAGGAAATGAGTCTCTCACATTTCACTTTACACATTTTTATAAATAGGTACTTTTAGAATCCAATAGATGGAGGAAATTTTAAAATAATAAAAAATAAGCGTGTTACAAAAAGAAAATAGAGCAAAATGTCAGCTTGTTTTTTGTGTTTTCTGAAGATTTTTATCTTGAAAACAAAAAACCAAATACTTTGTTACTTTTGTTGTGATAAATAAAAAAATGTCTTTCTGTAAACCAGTGTTTTGTGTTTTTCTTGACATGTTTTTCTTCATCTTATTTTACTGTCCTGGTTATAAAAATAATTGTGATAAATTGGCATCACTTTTCTGTGAGAATAATCTGAGCGCACGTCTCCAGTTGAGCGTTTTGTAAATGAGCTTTAACGTGACTGTTCAGAACTTCATTCCGTGTTTTTTAAAGAGCTGCACTGTTTTGAAAATGCAAAGCTTCGATTGCAGAAAGTGCAGGCGTGAGTGGCAAACCCACAAAGATCTGGGGTTTGCGTCAACCTGCA